AGATCATATCAGGTGTTTCTGTGTCTTCTACCTCCCACAGGTGGGCAACGTGAACAAGACTCTCACCCTGCAGAAGAACGGCAGCTCCTACAACTTCAGTGTATGTTCTGAATCCCATTAATGCTTCTTTGGAAGGGTAGCTTGCAGACAGGCTGACCAGTTAGCTTCCATTTTCCCATAATAAATGGCAGGGCAGGTTTGTCAGCACTGTGAAGAGGTATGTCCCAGCCAGGGAAAGTGACTATCGGCTTTGCCAAATGCTCTCTTACAGGATATTTCACGTATTTCACAATAGTCTCTCATCTTCCAGTTCCACTTGAAGTTTGGCTCCAAATCAGAAGGACTGTACAACCTTAACTTCCTGAACTGCCCTAGAAAGAGCTCTGTCCTGACCCGGTTCAGCCTTAAGGTCAGTGCCGTTTATGCCTTTGTCCATCTCATCTAAGTTGGCTTTACCTGCCAGAGGGAATATTTCATGCTTTATATTACTAGTAACATTATTATGATTATTGTTGTTGTCGTCATATGCTCCATACTCCATCCTGTCAGCACGGTGTTTCTGTTCTAGGTGTACATCGTAGAGCAGAACCCCGGTGGTTTCCTCTCTGCAGCTGAAATGCCCCTTCCGCTGCTGTACATCTGCACGGCTGGCCTGTTCATTGCTGCTGCCATGATCTGGGTCCACACGCTCCTCAAACACAGGTGTCTGCTCCCCCCCAGATAGACGACAGCTTGCTACCTTAGCCTCTTGACCATGACTATGACCAGATAGTAACAGAACACAGCTCTTTGGCTTTGGGCTTGCTGTAAGTTGTATCAGTCTTCAAGCCTTGAGTTTCCCTCCCAGAATCATGCAAAGACACCTGTGTGTATACGTACTATGGTCATTGATTTGTGCCACAGGAATACTGTCTCTGTTGGCAGCCTTTAGCTGCTCAAACATGATGAGGGGAAGACGCCATGCTGGTGCATGCAGACTGCTAATAGCTGGAACATCCCTGTGTCTGTCTGCAGGTTCAGCGTCTTCAAGATCCACTGGCTCATGGCAGCCCTGGCGTTTACCAAGTCCATCTCCTTGGTGTTTCATAGTGTAAGTGTGACACTGAGAGTGGGGCTGGGGGGCGGCGGGGGAAGAGGACCCAGGTAGTAAGGCAGAGGGGGTGAGGCCAGAAGCATAAGGCTGAAAGATGAAGGGAGAGGGGGCAGGGCTTAGGGAGGGAGTAAGGGGGAGGGGGCAGGCCTTAGGGAGGGAGTTAGGGAGAGGGGGCAGGGCTTAGGGAGGGAGTAAGGCAGAGGGGGCAGTGCTTAGGGAGGGAGTAAGGCAGAGGGGGCAGTGCTTAGGGAGGGAGTAAGGCAGAGGGGGCAGTGCTTAGGGAGGGAGTAAGGCAGAGTGGGCAGTGCTTAGGGAGGGAGTTAGGTAGAGGGGGCAGGGCTTAGGGAGGGAGTTAGGGAGAGGGGGCAGGGCTTATGGAGGGAGTAGGGCAGAGGTGGCAGTGCTTAGGGAGGGAGTAAGGCAGATGGGGCAGGGCTTAGGGAGGGAGTAAGGTAGAGGGGGCAGGGCTTAGGGAGGGAGTAAGGCAGAGGGTGTGGGGCTTAAGGCATAAGGCTGAGGGAGTAAGGCAGAGGGGGCGTGGCTTAGGACATAATGCTGAGGGAGGAAGGCAGAGGGGGCTGGGCTTAGGGCATAAGACTCTGGAAATAAAGCAGAGGGGGTGGGGCTTGGGGCATAAGGCTGAGGGAGTAAGGCAGAGGGGGCTGGGCTTAGGGCATAAGACTCTGGAAATAAAGCAGAGGGGGTGGGGCTTAGGGCATAAGGCTGAGGGAGTAAGACAGGGGGCAGGCTTAGGGCATAAGGCTGAGGGAGTAAGGCAGAGGGAACGGGGCAAGGAGCAGGGTTGAGGGCTTCGGGCTGGGCCTGCTAGCCTTCTGCTCACTGTGCTGTGAAATGGACTCTGTCCTTCTCTCTCCTTTTGTCAGATTAACTACCACTTCATCAACGCGATGGGGCATCCCATCGAAGGCCTGGCCGTCATGTACTACATCATGCACCTGTGAGTCTGTGCACCTACACCTCACTGTAGCCTCTCCTGTGTCTTCCCGTTAGACCATGTCACCCCATTCATTGCTCATTCTCATTTTACTTAATGTTTTCTCCATGTCATCACAAGTCAGTAGTATATAATTTATATAGTACCCCCTTGCACAAACATTCCTGGTCAAGGCATGTGTTTTTCTGCAGGTTGAAAGGAGCTCTCCTCTTCATCACTCTGGCTCTGATTGGCACTGGCTGGGCCTTTGTTAAGTACATCTTGTCGGACAAGGAGAAGAAGGTCTTCATGATTGTCATCCCTCTCCAGGTGAGTTCAGTACTTATGTGCCCACCTGTATGCATGTTCCAGGGGTGTGTGTCTGTGTGTGTGTGCATGCGTGGGGTATAGGCTGCCTGAGGCGTGTGCCTGCCTGCGTGTCTGTGCCTTCCTGAGCCGTGTGCCCAAGCACATGTGCGTACCTGAGCCTAAGGATTGAGCCCAAGGTATGTGCCTGAAGTGTGTACCCTTCCATGTGTACCCAAAAAGTGTGTGTGTGTGTGTTTACGTGGACCCACAAATGTTTGCTTGAGTATAATTTGTACTTTTCCTGTGCAGGTCCTGGCCAATGTAGCCTACATCATTATTGAGTCGACAGAGGAGGGCTCCAGTGAGTATGCGCTGTGGAAGAACGTGCTTTTCCTGGTCGATCTCATCTGCTGTGGGGCCATCTTGTTTCCAGTTGTCTGGTAAGCATGTGGTATGTGTGTGTTTCCTCCAGGTGAAAACAGAATACAGTGTGTCCAGTGGATGGGTTATCTAAAGTGGCATGGGTGTCTATGTATGGCTGTGTGAGAGAGAGAGAGACAGAGAAAGGGAGAGAGAGAATGCAGTGTGTCCAGTGGAAGGGTTATATTTCTGCTGTCATCTTAGGTCCATTCGGCACCTGCAGGAAGCCTCCAACACTGATGGAAAAGGTGAGCAAGTCCATCAGTTGAGGTGGATGTTCACCGAGGAATGGGTTAACAGATGGATAAGAAATTTACAAACAAGAGGTGGCCATTCGGCCCGTCAAGCTCGTTTAGGGAGAACTGATTACGAGAAAGATCTCGGTATGTATGTTGATGCCTCCATGTCCCACTATCGCCAATGTGGGGAAGCAATAAAAAAGGCGAACAGAATGTTGGGTTATATCTCTAGATGTGTGGAGTTTAAGTCAAGGGAGGTGATGTTACACTTATATAATTCCTTGGTAAGACCCCACCTAGAATACT